GGAAGGATCGCCGGAGCCCAGCAGGTCGAGGCTGCAGTGGCCGGGAGCGGCCACTGCACTCCAGTCTGGGCGACCGAGTGAGTCTCCAACTCAAAAAAAAAAAAATTAGCCAGGTGTGGTAGCACACGCCTGTAGTTCCAACTATTCGGAAGGCTGAGACGGAAGGATCGCCAGAGCCCAGCGGGTCGAGGCTGCAGTGGTCGGGAGCGGCCACCGCACTTCAGTCTGAGCGACAGAGTGAGACTCTAACTAAAAAAAAAAAAAAAAAAATTTTTTTAATATCCAGCCAGGCTCGGTGGCTCAGCCTGTAATCCCGCGCCTTTGGGAGGCTGAGGTGAGTGGATTGCCTGAGCCCGCGGGTTCGAGACCCTCCTGGGCTGCGAGACCTCATCTCTACAATAAATCAAAATATCAACCGGACGTGGTAGCGCATGCCTGTAATTCTGGCTACTTGGAAGGCTGAGGCGGAAGGATCGCCGGAGCCAAGCAGGTCGAGGCTGTGGTGGCCAGGAGCAGCCACTGCACTCCAGTCTGGGTGACAGAGTGAGACTCCAGCTCAAAAAAAAACAACAAATTTTTAATATCCTTCTTAAATATTGAAAACCCTGTTCTTATTTATATCAGCCAGTTTTATTTTATTTGGGGGCAATTTAGAAATATTAGTGACAATAGAAGTGATATTGTGGTTATAGTAAGCTGGAATTTAACAACTTACAACAAAGTATAAAAGCCTTGCAAAGTGATAAAGTGATGGTGTATATTCTTTCAAATGTAACCATTGTGAGTGATTTAAGGAATAATGTTGTGAGTTGTTATTTTATCTGTTCGGTCATCTTATGACCTGAAAATCACTTCTGTGTATTTAGAGAATTGAGGTAGTTGAGTTTTTTTTTTTAATTTCCAAATTGCGTTAAGCACAAGTAGAGCTTGATTGAGGTAAACCTTAGCCCCTTCTAAGAATAATTATCAGCTTCAAGTGTGGGCATCTTGCTGCCTTGATCACAGCCATAGAGTTTCTTCTCCCTTGACCCATGATATTCTTAAATCTTGAATCACCCATAGTCTGACTTTTCTCCTCTTGCCCATCTCACTGCTTAGTATGTAAATCAAAATAAAGTTGCCCCTCAATTCCATTTAAGCCCTACTGTTGCTCGACTGTTTTATTATTAAAATTATGAGCAAAGCAAGAGACAGCACTCCATCACAACTATCTAGCTTTGTTTTAGAAGTTCTAGCCATTGCTATAAGAGCAAAAGAGGAGGAAAAAGATGAGGTATGAACGTTGGAGGAGAAAAATGATCATTAATAACATAATATGAAACCCAAGAGAGGAACTTAAAAACTAAGAAATCCTAAAGGAAATGTTTACTTTAGTGGTTGATTACAAAGTATACAAAAATAAGTATAGTGTCCCTATGTATCTGAAGCAACCAGATAATGTAATAGGAAGGAAAAATCCCATTCAGAAAGTAATGTGACATATTAAAAAATTTTTAAATTAACATTTTTAAAGAAATATATAGAGCCCATATAGAGAAAACTACAAATCTTTAGTGAAAGATATAAAAGATTTGAATAAACAGATGCCATGATCCTATGTCAGAAATGTAAAATTGTGGATTCATATTAATCTTTGCAGTCATTGTAGTGACATTAGAAATCCTAACTTCAATAATATTTGGTGGTTGTCAAAATGATTCTAAAATTTATCAGAAAAAAATAAAGGGGAAGTAATTAAAAGAAATAGAAAAAAGGTATTTAGTTACTAAACACTGAAATATTATTATTAGTAACTACCTTATTGTCATTGGAATAGACGGACCAGTGGAAAAGAATGGAAAATCTAGAAGCAAGCCAAAGAATAGGTGACAATATAGTGTACATTTAAAGTAGCTTTTCATTTAATGAGGAAAGAATGCATTGCTCAGTAATAATTGCCTAAACATTTAAATAAAATTAGTTATATTTATCAATTGCCATACGCAGAAATAAATTACAAATAGTAAAAGATTTAAATATAAAGCAAAGTTATTTAAGACCATCCTCCCCCCACAAAAAAGGTTAATTATGTATATAATATTAGTATTGGGAAACTCATCCTTTGTATATCTACAAAAGATGGCAAAGATTGGTCAATTTAGCCGGGCTCGGTGGCTCAGCCTGTAATCCCGCACCTTTGGGAGGCTGAGGTGAG